TTTTATTTGTTTTTCTTTATAGGATACAATCTATAGACTACTATAGAATGCGTCCTTTTTTCCACTGATCATCAGTGTGACAGGTGCCGGAGCTCTGCCTTGGCAGAATTGTCATGGCAAACTCCTATTGCTACTATAATAATTAGCCTTATTATTACGTTTTTTGCTGTTTTGCCATAGCTGTTTGCCATTGCTGTTTGCCAGTTTTGCCATTTGCCAGTTTGCCATAAATGTTTGCCAGTGTTTTGCCTAATGTTTGCCATTGCGGTCATTTGCCCGACAAGGCTAGATCGCCGACTAGCCTTGGCCACCAACGGCACCTACCTCCAAACTCGGATACTCTGCCGTTAAGGTGCTGTAAATGACGCAGTGGCGAAGCTAGCCACTGCACGTCTGCACTGTTCTTACCAAGCCGTAATTAGTCAAGAATATTATATGAATGGTTGTGTTAACTACACAGAAGGTCAAGACGAAAAGGCTATGATCTGACTTGTACTTTTAGATCTTTCTTTTGTAACTGTAGACTAAACGACAGTTCTCTCATCATTTTGAAAGCTGTTATCACGATGAATAACAAGCTTTTCAATGGTAGCAATTTGTTTTGACTGTTGCAACTGGTATTTTATAGAATGGAAGTGCTCAATGTCACAGGAGTTATCGAATACTGCCCATCCCATTGGAATCTCCCATGATAATCCAAGGCTCTACTATCATTATGATCAACATTGTCCGCCAGGATATGAGGCAGGAGGTTTCATGTTATATGTATAATTTATTGTATTCCTTGGGTGACCGCTGCGCTCTTGTGAAGTACAGTACTTACGAGAAACAGAAGCTCATCAAGTGAAACGTAAATTTCTGTAAATGATAGCTAGTGCACACCAAGAGAAAGTTGAACACAGGAAATTAACAACAATATCCACAAAAGACATTAAATGCGCCTCATTTCCAAACTTGGCACTGCATGTCCACCCCCACGGCATTAATGAACCAGAACATTTTCCCTATGTTTAATTAACTTTGCCTGTCAAAAGCAGACAAATGAATAGACATTGACAGTACAGAACTTTTAATTCTTAATTACCTTGTCCCATACTTGTTTCATATATTTTGTTGTATTTGTTGTAGTTTTTTGTATATTTGTATTACTGGTAATATATTGTTATTTTTTTATTTTTACTTTTTTTTTACTAAATCCATCTGCTTGGTTTATTTTTTGTCACGTGTTGCTTTTATATTTGTAGTATAAATGGACAACTTGCATGTTAGACTAAATTTTAATCTAAGCAGAGAAAAGGGAATCAAACACCACAGCTAAAAAGAACATACTGAAATTAGTAAAAGTGCAAAATTTGGTTGCGAAATGTTGTAAAGCTTGGAAAATATAGCCTTGCAAAGTTTGCATATTTTCAGTATATTTGTATTACGAGCAGAAATTGTTACCATTTTCGGCTCAAAAATGGTAACAATTTCCGCACGTAATACAAATATACTGAAAATATGCAAACTTTGCAAAGCTATATTTTCCAAGCTTTACAACATTTCGCAACCAAATTTTGCAAGTTTACTAATCTTAATACGTTCTTAATGGGAATTTACTTTTTTTTTTGCCTAGATGGGCTAGATCAAAAATATGTCTAACATGCAAGTTGTCTATTAAGCTTGTGTATTTTCCCAACCACAGAATAATGAACACAGATGGTTGACTCAGCCAAAATAGCGTAACCGCTGCCACGCCATGATTCGTCATCAAAATCTGATGACATGGTCCTTCCCAGTGCGCTTGCGAGAGGCATCCCCCCGGAAGTCCGCCATTTTGAATATTATCAGGGGATATTATCATAAACGCACTGGCTAGAAGGTCCCATATGGCGTCAGTATTTTGATGATGAATTAGGGTTACGCCAAAATTATAGAAAAAAACAAGAAGTCAGGCTTCTGTATAGTCTCTATTCTGTGTCCAGACAAAGGGCCTTCGCTCAAAATGTCAAAATTGTCCTTATATTTTTCAGGTAGTTGCATCCCTACTGGTTAACGAAAGCTTGTTCACAACAATGCAATAGCATACTCCAGTACCGTACACAAAATGATAGATTAATACTAGTTATATTATCTTGTGATTAATGTTAATCTACTATTCATTAAAGACAGGTATAATAATATTGTAAAATAAAATATTCTAGTCTACTATAAGTTACTCACTTTTAAGACCATCTTGTCAGCGGCGATATCAGGTGGTACACCATCTCGAAAATCATCTAAACCTTTCTCTATAAATGTCCATGATGACCCAACCATTGTGCCTGAACATTGTTTTGACTTTTTGGGGTTGACATATTTTGTTTTTAGTCTTTCTCTGTACCTTCAAAAACAGGATACTAAATTTAGTAAAATAGCCTTAAGGGACCGGTCATTTATTAGAGGGGGGGGGGGGGCTGGTGGATTTTCATTTTCCTCTACATAATTTCATATGGCCCTGCTCATGTCACTGCATAAAATAATGTGGCCCCCCAAGGGAGTGCACATGAAATGGCATGGCCCACCCTCAGTTACAATATTTATAATTTTTTTTCTGGAACAATAAATTTTGGCGACCTCCCCCCCCCTCCCCGCCAAAAAAATTTCGGTCAGTGTACCATTTTAGGGGTCCAAAAATTTTTCGGACACACCTCAATTTTTTGGAACATCAAATAAATTTTCCCAAACATTGCAAAATTTACATTATTTCCCGCAAAATTCGCAGAATTTATCCCATTTATTTTTATAATAACCCAATATTGCACGACTGTGAAGATAATATTGCTCAACTAGCTTGGTTTGCCTGACTTTTGCCCGACTTTTGTTGAACATTTGTCCGACTTTTCGACTTTCTAATCTTTTGGGGGGGGGGCAGCTGCCCCCCCCTGCTGCCCCCCGTCTCGTACGCCTATGCTTGTAGTTGCCACAACATTGTTTTGTTTTCATATAAATATTAAAAATTTGACTGTGGTTGATCCCTTCAGTGCTGTTTTCTTTTGTAGAATATATAGGAAAATGGAATGCACAAAAATGTATGACCCCCCAAAAATGGTTGCAGAATTTTATGCAACCCCCCATTTTCAAGTGCACAAAAAGGTATGACCCCTTCCCCATTTGCACCAGCCCCCCCCCCTCTAAAAAATTTAACAATGATGTTAGTTAGAGTGGCTAATACAATTAATCTGCTGTTGATTTTAAGGAGAGAGCCTCACTATTATCAGATTTTGAGACACACACAGTGAGGTATAGGTTACATATACTAAGTTGTACTACAAGTATTTACCAACAGTAATCCATTCCTGTTTGCTGTTAATTGAGACTGTTGAAGGAATAGGTTCATGAAAACCATTCAAAATTGCATCTCGGTCATGAAATGGATGGTTTTTATGCATCTCCACATCACAATTCCCACAAAGATATATTTTTAAATAGCAGTCCTCACACTGGATAACTGCCCTGGCATCATTACAGCTCTCACATAAAATAACATCAAAACTGCTAATAGCAAATTTAGTCTGAAGCAAAGTTTCCATTAAACCACTTCTGACTCCCTCCCAGCTCTCATTTAGTATATTTTGTCTTTCATGCCAGGTTCATTTCTTTTGTTGACCACCACATTTCCAATTGCTTAATAAATTATTTGCTTCAACAAGGATATCATTCATTGCCATATCTAAACAACATAGAAACTACCTGCATTAAAAATGAGCTGATTTATGGCACAGCACACAATTATTTTGTTGGCAACTTAATACCGATAACTGCAAAATATGTGTAATAAATTGTAGTTTTATGCTGACACAACACTATGATTACATAGTGGTGGCAAAGTTGTCATTTGAAGGAAATGCCTTCCACCTCTGGCATCATGGGTTCAATCCTAGCTATGCACAGTCTCTGAAAGTCACAGGTTTTCTTTAGGCACCGCACTCTGTTTTCCTCCCAGAAAGAAGTTAACAGGGAGGGTCAGGATCATATTAACACAGTTTATAGGAAAGCATTCAAAGCAATATAACAATTGTTGTAAAGACAATTTATAGTCTAAGGCTAAATTAAGGATGTAAGTAAATGTAAATACTTGATGTAATCAGTCATAGTTGGTTATTAAACTTAACAAATTTAGTTAAATTATAAATTATCAATTGCTTACTCTATGGAAAGTTCCTCGATACATCCACATCTGATTTACAATCAAGCTGAATTAATGGACTTACTTCTGGCACTAAAATTGCAGGAAAAATAGTGAAAACGTATAAATACAAGGCACAAACAATAGGATTCATACATACTGTAGGTGTGTATTTTCTGTAAAATTCTACATAAAGAGTTACCTTGAAACATATTACCGCTGCATTCCTCCAAGTTACTTGAAATGCCGGTATCATCGTGATTATAGTACTTCCAATTGTAGGTATTTTTGCAATTCCTTCGACCAGTAGATGGATCAGTGCTATACTCATAATGAAGCGCTCTTCTTCTCTTTTTTCCCTTTCCCAAAATGTTTTTACCTTGCTCAATAAGTCTATCCATAGAAGCAAGGTTCCAAATGAGGCCAGTTGTGCCTGGGAACCCAATCTCACAAATTTTCCAATTTTAGGGAAAAAAATGGTAAAAATTGAAAAACTAGGCAACCAGAACTAAGCGTAAACTAGGACGCCCTGATATAGGTCACAAAATCGGTTGTCAGTTTGTGTTGTGTACGTCAGTATTCTACATTATCGTGCTTAATTTTGAAATATTCTGCTATTTTAATACCGTATGTAAAGCTGTTTCCGTATTATATTAATAATCTCTTAGTCCGCGTGTTGTGACCCGATATCGTTCACTTTCATGAAGCATGTCTTAGATCTGAAATATTTTTACGGGAACTAACACTTTCGAACACGCTGAGTTCAAATCCGAAAAGTTCCCACTCCGTAGACCCGCAGTTTTTTCACAAAATGCTATTTACCTTCACTAATTTCACAACAAATTTTTTCATTGTTCAACGATACGGATCGATGACGATACACGATTATGTCACTCGACAAAAGATCGGTTTTGCTCGAATCATTTTGATTTATGCAATCTTATGCGTGTTGGACGTAAACAACATATCTTGTCTACAACTTTGAGAAGGTACAGATAACGCTTTCTAAAATCCTCAGTTCTACTGTTCTAGAGATATCTCTATAAAATCACAAGGACACTAATGCGAAGTCTTTTAGCTATGTCACTAGCCTGAAATATAACACTTTTAACACGATCAAGTTATTAAAAACCGAAAAGTAACGCGAAGCCAACGTAACGGCAAAGACAGCGCTAAAATGAAATATTGTCGAATGGTTGCTGCTAGAAGACTTAGGACAGGATCAATCTTAAATAACCTTAAACTATGAGAATAAATGTTCACGTCAAAGACAAAGATCAGTTCCAAAGTATAAAATATGTTCTGTAAACTTACCACAAAGTCGAGAAATGTGTGCATTAGCTGCTTATTTGATGATTTCAACGGAGAAGCCCTGTTTCGAATTCCAATAATATTCGCTTATCGCACAGTATAACACCAACTGATGTAAGAGTTCAAATGCAATGATAAGTTAATTTTTAATTACGTCTCGGAAACGGTGTTGGAAATTTCAATGCTGATCCGTTACCAACGGTGGATTGACTACAAAATGTTTGTAGTTCGCTATAACTACAGCTACTTCAAAAATATGTAGTCAGCTACAACTACTGCTACTTTTGAACTAAGGTAGTTCGCTACTGACTACAGCTACTGCTTTAAAAATGTAGCGAACTATTTCGCTATTTCGCTACTCTATATTTTTTAGTTTTACGGTATTTGGAGCATCCACTAGCTCAGGCTGTAATATCACCTATAACAAATCGACTTACGAGTAGCAACAGTAAACAAAAAGGGTCAAAGCAACATTTTTGTAAGCACTACAGTGTTCAGGAGTGCCACTTTTCATTGCGCTAAAATAATCTTTGCTGTATAAAATAATCTTTTAAGCAAACCGTGTCTTAATATCATTCTATTCTATGAACGGTTGCTAACAATTTTAAAAAGTAGCGAATAGCGATTCGCTGCTTGAAAAGTAGTCAACTACTTGGCTACTTTTAGGCAAAATGTAGTTCGCTATAACTACAACTACTGTTTTAAAAAAGTAGTCAAAAACTACTGGCTACTTGAAAATTGTAGTTCGCTACAGTAGCGAACTACAACTACTTCGCTACTACCCACTCTTGCCGTTACATATATATAGATTACCGTTTTATATCCTTGTATAAAACATTTTGATCGCATGTAAGGAATTATTTCTCATCCCAGAGACATAGCCCAAAGACTTGACATTAACGTCCTTGTGATTTTATAGAGATAGATCCAGAACTAAGGATTTTAGAAGGAATTATCTGTACCTTCTCAAAGTTGTAGACAAGATATGTTGTTTACGTCCAACACGCATAAGATTGCATAACTCAAAATGATTCGAGCAAAACCGGTCTTTTGTTAAAAGGAAGAATGGTTAATAGAAATTGGTCCTTTTGAGTGACATAATCGTGTATCGTCATCGATCCGTGTCGTTGAACAATGAAAAAATTTGCTGTGAAATTAGTGAAGATAAAATAGCATTTTGTGAGAAAACTGCGGGTCTACGGAGTGGGAACTTTTCGGATTTGAAATCAGCGTGTTCGAAAGTGTTAGTTCCCGTAAAAGTATTTCAGATCTAAGGCATGCTTAATGAAAATCGTTTTCTAGGCACTTTTCAAGGTCACAACACACGGACTATCTGTTTTAGGAATGTTTTTATTCTGTCAACATGTCTAGATTCAGATTAAAACAACGTCATTACGCGCGATTGGTATTTTGGAGTCTGGGAACGTCCTAGTTTTTGACGACAATAGCCTAGTTTTTTTCCATATAAGGTAATTCTAGGACGTTCTCAGACCCCTGCGCACAAAAAACTAGGACGTTCCCAGTCTTCTTCAACTTCTCACGCCCAGAAAACTAGGCAGTTTGCATTTACATAATTACAATGCGTGATATCAAATTACATTTGCGCAAATCTGTCGCAATAACATTGGTGTATTAAAACAGAACAAAAGCAAGAAATACATTATATTCCTTGTATTCAGTACAGCTACCAATAGTACAATGTACTGAATATTGGTTATTACGCTTATCACTCATTTATTGAGGCAATGACTATTTACGCAAATAACGCAATGACGAATTGTGATTCATGTTTGGCATACATTAAATTAATACATTGTAATTTTTAAGAGATAGTCATTCTTCGGTGTTGTTTTTAAAGCTGTTGTTTCAAATAATGTGAGCATAGGCATGGTCTTGTTTTTTTAGTTCGAGTACTAAAACTAGAGTTTAAAATAAACCAACGTCTATATATAGACTCTATACATGAATTGTAAAAGTATATCACACTCATCTCTAAGCTGCACTTGACCTTTAAAACGGTAACTTTATAACGTCACAGTATTTTTGGTCACTGACTTTTCCAGATGCTTTGCTAACATGTAAATTGTCTAGTATCGATTTTCAAAAGAACTCAGAACGGCAATTTTATAAAGATATTACCAATACCTGAAATGCTAAAATTGTGTGAATTGTAATTGTATTGCAATTGTCACTAGTTATAATGTTTTTATAGTGCAGTCATGACAATTTTCATCAGTACTGGTATCAAACCTGTAAAATGAACTATACTTTACAGCGGCACAGCCATATATTACTAAATACATATCAAAACATGTATCATTAACCTATATATCGCTAACCTTATAAGCCTCTCGCAAAAAAAAATTAGGGGAGGTACTTGAAAACTTGAAAATTGGGCTATTAATTTTCTTAATACTGAACCCCAGGCACAAACAAAATGCCATTTGGAACCCTGGTGTGCCTCGAGTAGGCTTATCGTATAAAGCATACGTCCAATACGCACAAAATTTTGAACATGCTTAAAAAAAATTTCGGCCTCGCCGTATGCCAGCGTATGCCACCGTACGCGACCATGCTTGAAACGTATACAACCTATGCCTAACGTACCCCTAGCGTATGTCAGCGTATACCGGCGTATGAGTGATATTTTTCATACGCTGGTATACGCTAGTACGATACGCAATAGTGTGACAGGGCCTTAAGTTAAAGAAATGCTTGTTTTTCCCCATTTAGGTCGGAAAAAAGAACATTTTTGGCTTGACACTAAATCTATTGAATCAGTTCAACCTAATTTTCTACCTTTAGTATCGATATAGGGAAGATTTTTCAACGATTTGGGTAACGTTTTGGGTTTGAAAATTGTCTTCACTCCTCGGTTTGTTTTGTCACGAAATGTGAAAGGTCCGTAACGTGTGGGAGAGGTCCCAATCGTGTGATATGGACCTTTCGTCAACCAATGGAACGCTCCATTTACGTTACGGACCGGAAAAAAAATATTTATTTCATTTCAAGTTTTGAAAGGGATGAAAGACATTGCGCATCATCGTAGTTCAGCACGCATATCATTCTTGTTTATACTTACTCATTCAATACATCAATGTCAAGATCTTTAATGCTAGAAACATGAGCCAGAGCACCAACTTCCATATCTTCCATACTTGTCAGGTTTAACATGTGAATAGCTTCACTTGCGTCATGAAGATAATATATAATATTACGACGACCATCGTACGTAAACCGCCGAATATGCTCTTCCATTGTCACCAAGGTTGTTATATTTGAGCCATCCAAAGTTACTCTGGATAATGTTGTGCCTGATGCATACATTAAAATTTGACGATTATGTTTGTCGTAGACCAGTTGAGCATCAGGAGATCTCAAGAAAAACTTTGGTGAAAGATCACCTGCCTTGGTGTTGTAAGTATTGATTGTAGAACTGTTAGCATAATAGAGAATTGGTACTTGACAAAGGTCTGAAGAAAAAGAAAGCAATTTTGTATTAAAGTACATGGGTTTTTTGTAGAGGTAACTTCAAATGCAAATTTATATACACCTAACCAGGGTATCTCAGGCAGGAATCTAATCTATGGTTATGTCACTCCAGCGCACTGGTGTAAGCAAATTGCTGAGCAATAACCACAAATTCATGTTTTTATCATTGAGCGATGCCAGCACAAGGAAAATTGGGTAAATATCGAGATTTTGGAATTTCGCTGGATAGAACAAATACTATAGATTTCGTCTATAATAAACCATGTACTATTAGTACTGTCGAACCAGATACACAAAATGTCAATTTCGCATAATGCACGAACCCATCCAAGAGATATGAAGACAAAAACAACTTTTTTACCTTCAAGTTCACATCTGTCACCTAAGAAACCGAATGGGCAAGTACACTCAAATGTTGTATTATCAATATTTCTGCAAGACCCACCATTAAAACATGGAGCACTGGCACATGGGGTACCTATGAAAGTTAGTATAAATGAAAGTTAGTAACGAGAACCGCCAATCACAAATTAATCAGATAAAGCGTTTGCAACATTACAATGTTCAGGTCTGCACAAACAAAGTAGCATATAAAGAAAATCAACTAAAGAAAAGCACGTAACTCAACTTTAACTCACATTACAAGTACCAATATCAGTAATAGTATTGGCAACAGCAACAACAAAATCAGCAGCAACACCACCGGTACTAGTAGCAGCCTACTACCATTAATAGTAATAGTAACAGCACTAGTTCCATTAACAGCGCCAGAAACAGCACATGCACCAATTCTAGTAGTACCAGTAACCGTAACATTATAAGTACCCGGACTTCTGCTAGTAACTGTAACAATATTAGTACCAGCACTTGTATATTTATCAGTTTCAGCACCAGAAACAGTAATATTTCCAACAACAGCAATGTTTCAAGTAACAACACTGATACAAGTACCAGTATCAGCACTAGTACCAGTAAAGTGTTAGTGACAGTAGCAATAGCAGTAACAGTAGAAGTAAATGTAGCAGTAATAGTAGCAGTAATAGTAGGAGTAATAGTAGCAGTAACAGTAACAGTAACAGTAACAGTAACAGTAACAGTAACAGTAATACTATGCAGTAACAGTATAGTAACAGTAACAGTGACAGTGACAGTGACAGTAACAGCAGCAGTAACAGTAACAGTAACAGTAGCAGTAGTAGTAGCAGTAGCAGTAGCAGTAGCAGTAACAGTAACAGTAACAGTAACAGTAACAGTAGTAGTAGCAGTAGCAGTAGTAGTGACAGTAACAGTAACAGTAACAGTAACAGTAACAGTAGCAGTAACAGTAACAGTAACAGTAGTAGTAACAGTAACAGTAACAGTAACAGTAACAGTAACAGTAGCAGTAGTAGTAGCAGTAGCAGTAACAGTAACAGTAACAGTAACAGTAACAGTAACAGTAACAGTAACAGTAACGGTAACAGTAACAGTAACAGTAACAGCAACAGTAACAGTAACAGTAGTAGTAGCAGTAGTAGTAACAGTAACAGTAGCAGTAACAGCAGCAGTAACAGTAACAGTAACAGTAACAGTAACAGTAACAGTAACAGTAACAGTAACAGTAACAGTAACAGTAACAGTAACAGTAACAGTAACAGTAACAGTAGCAGTAGCAGTAGCTGTAGCAGTAGCAGTATCAATAGCAGTAGCAGTAGCAGTAGCAGTATACTAGTAGCTGTACAGTATCAGTATGAGTAACAGAAACAGTACCAGTATACGTAACAGTAACGCCAACAACAACAGCACAATAATAGGAATAGGAGTAACGGCTAAGACGAAGAATAAAAGTAACAGTAATACAAGAAGATAAAAACAACAGTTATAATAACTGTTACACCAATTTTTTACTAATTGATAATCAACCTCAAAAATTAATTTATTAATTTAAAAGTAAAATTATAAATTAATTTGTCATTGATAAGATATATGTGAATGATTTATAGTGGAAAAGAAGGAATGCATTGGTATTTTTTGTTTTCTTCGGCCAAGTGTGTACCACGCTACTAATATGAATTTCAAATCATGCATTTCTAGATCTTGTTTGTTTCAAGTATAAATGCCTATAAATGCCATATAATAATTTTTTATTAACCTTGCTTGCTTGGTATGTACAGAGAAATATCGGACCTCGGTCATTTTGTACAAGCCTCGCTGTACGGGCTCGGTCTGAACAAAAAAGACCTCGGTCCAATATTTCTCTGTACAGACCTCGCGTTCGGTTAATAAGAAGTTAATAAAATCTGGACACTTACGACAAATTGCAAATTCGTCCAATGCACGCCACTGTATATCAACAAAGAAAGCACAATCATCAGCATAAGCCTCGAGAGCTTGACAATAACAAACAACAGGATCATCCTCGCAAGCACACATATCATATTCACAATCAGCAATATATCCCTCTTCAGTGGCATTTATATGACTTGAACACTCATTAAAAGGAGGTCTGAGTAACGTTGAACAGTTGGCTTGTGCTATCCATCTTCTGTCTGAGTTGGCGTCACAGGGATTTGGTACTTCAATTGCATCATCACAGTCAGGATCAACTTTCCAAGTATTTCCAAATTCCACTGGATTAGTTACAATTGTACCATTGCGTGCCCAGAAGTCGTCATCTTCCATGTTATTATATGTACCACATAATCCTGATGTTCTGTTTAAATACCGACCTCGAACTGTCACTCGTACATTATAAACATTGTTCCAGAAGACCGTCACACCATAATCACTTGATACCATTGTATTTGCTGTATTTTGAAAATCACGTTCAGTGATGTTGACACCTTGTAAAAAATCAAAAGATTTGTAGTCTTATTATACACTATGTTATGTTACTACGATCATAGCCTCGTCAGGTTGTGTAATATTAACATCCTGCGTAATATATAGAGGATATTAGACGGTTGCGAGAAGATATGGAAATTTTCGAATTTCGTATGCCACTCGCACGGGTGAAATAGGGAAAATACGCGCATCTGGTCCCGGATTTAGTGAAGTATGAGTTCTATGAGTGTTTTAGTTTCCAGTAAAACGCTATTGTCCATATAATATACTGATGCTATACTAAGATCTTTTTGCCTTGCCATGTCATGTCACGTCATATCATGCATGATGTTACGTCATGTCGTGCCGTAAATTGTTTTGTTGGGTTGGATTTGTGTTGTGTTCTATTGTGTTGTGTTCTATTGTGTTGTGTTCTATTGTGTTGTGTTCTATTGTGTTGTGTTATATTGTGTTGTGTTCTATTGTGTTGTGTTCTATTGTGTTGTGTTCTATTGTGTTGTGTTCTATTGTATTATGTTGTGTTCTATTGTGTTCTATTGTGTTGTGTTCTATTGTGTTGTGTTCTATTGTGTTGTGTTCTATTGTGTTCTATTGTGTTGTGTTGTGCTGTGCTGTGTTGTTGTGCTGTGTTATGTTGCAGTGTAGCGTAGCGTTGTGTTGTGTAGTATAGTGTGGTGTGGTGTAGTGTATATGTTCTATACTTATCAGTATGGTGTAGCATAGCGTAGTTAGCATAGTGCCCAGTGCAATTTTGCATGTGTATTACTGTGTAATTTTGCAAACAAGAATCTATTTATTTTGCAGTAATAAATTTACGTGATATTTCCACAAGCAAAACTGTTATAAGAATCTATTTGTTATAATGAAACGTAGCACTTAAAGTTCAATGTTTTCTTATACCTCCATAATTAACTGGCAACATGACTTCTCCACCATTGACCAAAGTCATTCCTCTTCGGAGTTCAATTGTAATATTTGGGAAGATTACTATTAATGATCTTGTACATGTAGGTACTCCATTTCCACATGGTTCATTTGTTTGTCTTATTTCAAATGTGTTGTTTACACGGTCTTCAGCCAGAACATATTCACATCTACCCATAAAGTCATAACGTCTTCCATCAAATGTCGTATAATGTGGATCTCCCCGAGCCTTGCATGTCGCTTCAACTAAAGCAAATAAAAAAGCCTTAATTAATTAGTTAATTAAATATACATTCACTAATTCAACATGAAAAATTTGAAACGCTTCTCCAAAAAGAAATCAAAGAAAAAATTAAAAACAAGAATAGGTATGTTACAGTAACGTTACTTCAGAGTAGTTATATATGTTACATATGAAGCATATATACATGTTGTCAAAATATTTTGCATTTCGTTACTGTTAATTTTAATCAAATAATAAAAACCACTATACTCTCCAAACAAAGTAGAGATCTTTCCCCATAAGAAATAACATTAGATACACCAGAGCCCAAAAAATATTTACAAAAACATGGAAATTTGGGCTAACACTGGGAATAATATGCTAACAAAACTAACTGGGGGGGGGGGCATATTTCGCGGGGGACCTGGAGAAGTTACAGTCTGCAAGTCTGCATCACTGCACAGTTACCTGCATATATATATATATATATATATATATATATATATATATATATATATATATATATATATATATATATATATATATATATATATATATATATATATATATATATATATATATATATATATATATATATATATATATATATATATATATATATATATATATATATATATATATATATATATATATATATATATATATATATATATATGAATATGTATATTAACCAATAAGTATATGTCATAGGGCAGCATCAGACCCGTAAGATCAGGCCCGTAATTAGGAATCTGAGACAACCAAGTCGACCACTGAAGGTGCGGGCTGCATGTCTAGGCTCAGATAAGGTATTTCCAGCATTTTGAGGAGTGGTCCAACAAGAAATTAAACTTATAAACAGTGACACAATTACTGCAATTTTACAAACTCCCAAATGTAATCCAGTCTCAATAAGGCAACATGATGTGATGCGGTAATGAAAATGTGTGTGGTGTAGTATTATCATTCACCATACTTCAATTTCTACAGTACTGCATTACATGTATCGGGGTTCTTGACATCGACGCATTCGTCTTCTCAGTGTCACTGAAGAGCAAGATAGGGTGGTCTCTTTTGAGTATCTTTGTTTGAAAAACTACACTAGAATTTCGTCCTAAAATGCCATTTCATGCCTTTTTCGACGAGAAAATTATTTCAGCCATGGTTTATGCTTCTGGCGATGTTTAAATTTCAGTTCCCAAATTCCTACCGAGTCAACTGACTCGGTTGACTCATAGCTAGTTACGGGCCTGCAGATGATGGTCAAATTCAGAAATGATATAACAGCTTAACATCATTTTCTCACTTTGATATGTAATTGCTGCTTGACCACCAACTACAGGTAGTTCTTAGGGACCTTGCAATGAGAGGGGGGGGGGACAAAATTGCCGACTGGAGGGGGCAGTAAGGGGACTGAGGGGACATGTCTCCCCCTCCCCCAGTCTATATGTTAAGAGAGACCCTGGGTTGAATTCAACGCATTCTTCGGTAACTAGGGATCCAAGGATAGTGCAAAGTTTCAAATTGCAAAAGACACTTTGTGTATGGGGACATAAAGTGGAAAACGTGGACTCTCATTAAAATCGAATCTTTAGGAAAAATAAACTATGTTTTGACGGACTCCGTACTCCGCACTCCGTCTTTTTCACCATGTCCTGTGAACCCTATAATCATTTCTATATTTAGAGAGCCAAACACGCACGTGCTGTATGTGTGGTTTCAACACACAGTTTTTTCAGGCTTATGTGGTTTCAGTGCACTGAGTGTCTGAGTGTAGCCATCTATTCTGTGGTGTAGCACCTTATACAGTCGCTGTAAAGTGAATATACAGCCTAAATAATATCGGCACTTAATTGAATGCCGGTAATGCATAACATCAATTTATATATTGCGTAGAATCTCAAAGATTTTTGTAATGATCGAAAACCTCACAATTTTCTCAATATTCAAATCTGAAATGTTTATACATTTGAAAACAACACTGTCTCGCTCCTTCCTAGCTCTGCATAATGAATATGGCGTCAAAATAATATTGGCACTTAATTAAGTGCCCGTAATGCATAAAATCGATTTATTTATATTGGATAGTATCGCGAAGATGTTCTCAAAATTTACGTCTGAAATGTTTATACATTTGAAAACAACACTGTGTCGCTCCTTCCTAGCTCTGTATAATGAATATAGCTACCGTCAAAATAATATTGGCACTTAATTGAATGCCCGTACTGCATAACATCAAGTTATATATTGCAAGAATCTCGAAGATTTTCTCATAAAACTATTAACCTCAATTCTAATACACTCTAGTCTACACATAGACGTACGGGACGGGGGGCAGGGGGGGGGGGCAACTGCCTCCCCCCCAAACAGATTACAAAGTCGAAAAGTCGGGCAAATGTTCAACAAAAGTCGGGCAAAAGTCGGGCAAAACGTAGTCAAAACAAGAAAATCTCTCTTAATAATAACCCCAGTTTGTTGGGCAAACAAAGCCAGTTGGGCAACATTCGCTTTACAGTCGGGTAATATTTGGTTATGATAGAAAAAAATGGGACAAATTCTGCAAATTTTGAGGGAAATTATGTCAATTTTTCGATTTGGGGAAAATTTGTTTCACGTTTCGAAAAATTTTTTTATGTCCGAAAAATATTTTGACCCTTAAAATGGTACACTGACCGGGGGGGGAGAGGTCACCAAAACAAATTGTTCCGGAAAAATTTTTTTGGCACTTGTCGGGCACAATTAGAAAAAGTCGGGCAAATTTCTTTCTGCCCCCCCCCCCTAATTTTTTCCTTCCCGTACGCCTATGAGTCTACACGATTTCGCACCGCCGCTTAATAGTCACCGCTCGTCCATGCCCGCCTTTGTAAAATTATATTTAATAATATACGAGAGCATGTGTATTAATTCAAGGGTATTTATGTTGCAGGGGGGAAATCATATAATAACAAGTGGTTGAAATGTAACAGTAATGTGGCTGTAGCTTCTCTAAATGTTGGAAAAAATAAGTAAGAACATGTACCATCTATAAACATCTATAAACGATTAGTTGGCTGAACGTCACGACGCTCTAGAAAACGTAATAAGAACTATTTTGCAAGCTCCCCCCATCGCTCCTGGATTGAATTTTTCTCATAACAATAGTGCAAAGGAACTTTGCACTAAAAATGCTGGGAAACGTTAAATTCCCTCCCCCCCCCCTCCATATCCCCTAGAAAAGATCAGCCCCCATAGTGAGTTCTGTTAGCAAAGGCAGGTTCGTTGTCATACGATTTCTAAAGCCTGGTTTCCATATGATCGCAGCGATTGAGTCACGAAATACAACATTTTAGAACTAAAAATCCGTGGAGTAATTAGATCTAGAAAATACTTATGACTTATATGTGGTTTACCGGTATAAACTATTATGAACTTTCCGTTGCGAAAGTTCGTCACTCTATTTTTACGACCATGTGGAAACCTGCAGTTTTAATGAAAAACACTCAAAAGAGACTTTTGAGGTTTAAGCACTAACTTTTATCTTCACAGTTTTCTCCCTCGTAATCAGAATGACAAACACATTCATATGTATTGCCAACTTCAACACAAATTTCGTTTTCACCACAAGATAGATCATCACAATTGGTAACTGAAAAGTAAGTGGTGAGAATTCGTTGGCTTTTCGTATATGAAGCAATATGAATAATTTTCGCGGTCGCTGACAAGAGAACTCTTATTATTATATTAAAAATTTCAAATGGCACAGTGCACTTCCGAGTGAAGTAATGCCATACTAGAAATACATGCATGCATGCAACAACCCCTCGCCAATATTTTCCAAACATGTGTCAACATGAACTATATTCATAATTACGCCAACACTGAACGCAGGCTCGCGTTGCTCATGTCATGTTAGCCATGATAATTGTTTTTTTTTTAATTTTTTGTATAAAACTGAAAAAAAAAAATAAAACTTGAACACTTTCTAATACAGAACTATCAATTTCTAAAATATATAAGTAGGTATATTATTTTGCTTTCTATGGACTTCATTTTAATGTAAAATTCAACACGAAACTCTTCGTCAAACGTTTTTAAATGCGAATAAACAATTATTGGATGAGGTTTTTGTGATATGCGGAATTATCAAGGTCGAAGTAAGCGTTATCAGCCGAGCCGAAGGCGAGGCTGATAACGCTTACTGAGACCTTGATAATTTTGCATATCGCAAAAACCGAATTCAATAATTGTTTTATTATACATTTGAAGAATAATAATAATAGTATTAACGCATAATAAGAATAGTATTAACGAATAATAAGAATAGTATTAACGGATGAAAATCTTTATTTACGAAATCATAGCCACACCCAATAATACATCAATTATATTCAATATATTTCTGGCAAAGCTGTTCAAGTAAAAACTTTCTATAAACAAGTCTCTGGAAGTCCAACAGTTAAATTAATTACAAATATAAAAGAATCATATTATCGTAAGACATTTACGAATTTACTTGTTAAAGTAAACATTACAATTATGAAATGCACACTCATATGAAATGTGATGATGAAATGCACACTCATTTGCAGATAACTCAGTTATCTGCTTGCAGATAACTCAGTTATCTGCTTGCAGATAACTGAATTTTGTGTAGGTTGCGTGATTGTGCGATTTAACTGTAAGCTCTTAGCCAATCAAATTGCTTTTGCCAACTACAATGTATAATAATTGAAATTAACTGCTTTTATGCCGATAAACTATTCAACTTGAGCTTCATTCAACTTATACTCGCACTTTGAAATGAAATAAATTCAATTCATACAGGATGCTCTGAAAATAATTTGCTCTCCTTTTTATCATGAACTTCTAAAAAAGTTAATTTAACTAAGAAACTTTCGCACGCAATGCATAGGAAAGACTTGAACAACAAAAACAAACTCTATAATAATAGAAAGTCATATATAAACATTTGAAATAAACTTTTTCTATACTTTAGGATTTCTCATACTAAAATCAATTCTTAATATTTACGTTTAAAAATTGAAAAAAGTTTTACAATTTGTTATGTGACACGATTCTCATGCAATCTTTCTTACTTTTTTTAATATTTTGCCTCCTTCACTCCTGGCAAACAGCCATATTTTGAGATAAGTAAGATAACCACCCATACACCATGCGCCCGCAATATTTGATGAACTTTAGACTTCGCTAGTGCGTTTCTTTCCCCGGGTGTAAATAGCCAGGCGGAATTAGTACCCTCGCCCGGGGTTACGCCCCGAACGGCGCTCCACGCCGTTGCCTCGGGGATAAGAACAGCACAACAAAAATCTAATAAATTCTGAACAAAATATTTTTTTACTAAAATAAAATAATTTTTAAAATAAACTTTGTCTAAACCGAGAAAATCAAAGCAAAAGCTCGTGTAAATTAACATGGATTTTTATTCATGGCGGTTGACATTCAATGGGCGGTCCGAACGCATGCCCCCCCCCCCGGAAAAAATTAAATCTAGAGCCTCTGAAATGCCATTTCCTACACTTTAGAAGGAGATTTACACAGTAACAAAATGTCATAAAATATCTCAAATTGTTTTGTCTACACGCGTAACTGAAAAATATCAATTATGTAGGCCACAGAAAAAAAATAGTTGGTTAGCGTCCTCGCCCACCCAAAATAACGGCCACGCTCAGGATTTTTTTAAATTTTTTATTTAATTAAAATAAAACCCAACTTTTATTGATCAACGGGCTCTAATATATGCAGTATTTCTGTTGACTGTAGTCAATTGTGTTAATAAATTGCGGGCGAAAATGACAGTATGAATCCTATTTTGAATATATTAAAAAATATCTGTATTGCGCAAGAAAATCCAGTTTCGGACCAAGGCGTTAAAAATAAGTATATATAAAAAAACCCGCCCGCCCACCTTTTGGCAAAAGCTAGGGACGCTAACCTACTATTTTTTTATTTGGTCTTAACTTTGTGGTTTATTATTGACCATTGTTAAAAAGTGTGGGGGGGGGGGCAAAGACATTTAGGCCCCCCTCAATTAAATATATATATGTGTGTGTGTGTGTGTGTGTGTATATATATATATATATATATATATATATATATATATATATATATATATATATATATATATATATATAGTACAATCTGCAGACATGCATGTTTCGGCGTTCAACGCCTCGTCAGTGCAGCTTGGTACACGTCTAAATACGTGGGGCACTCGTATTCGTATCCCATGAACTTGCTCTCACCAAGGCATGTGGTAGAACACGGTGACTCAACGCATCCAGACATGCGCAGAGCGTAATGGGGCCAGAGTGCTCAAACGACCACAAGGGAAGTGAGCTTTGCATTATCGCTAATAGACACCCATTAACAACTCCGCAGAGTGCTCAACAACACCGAAGTGAAGGAGCGTAATAGGCCTACAGTTGAAAGCTAGGCCTATTACGCTCCTCAATATATATATATATATATATATATATATATATATATATATATATATATATATATATATATATATATATATATATATATATATATATATATATATATATATATATATATATATATATATATATATATATATATAAATTCACGGAGATATTAGTGTTTAAAATCGGGAGCATATTCCTGGATGTGTCTGAAATATGCAAAAAACGGCGTATCAAATATTAACCAAGATTTGCCCGACTGAAACATGCACTATTACCAGTAAATAAATGACACTTGACAAATTGTTTATTGTGAAACAAAGTATTATTATACAACCAAGATTTATTCGTCCGAAATCCGCGTGTGTTCCTGGCACGAATACGTTTCCTTATTTCATGAGACCACTGCATCACGAAGGATCGTCATGGATCGTTCGTTCGTAGTTCTGAATTAGGGCATGCTGTCACAATGGAATTGTGAATTTTCTAACTTCACATTGAATGAATTTTCTAACTTCTGCAACGTTCTGAAATCTTGTTAAGAACACCCAAACTCTTTTGCCTTTCTTAATCTTGGCAAGTTCAGAATAAACTGAGAATAAAACAAAATCAAACTAGGCATACAACTCCATAAGTAAAGACATAACAAGCAACTCCCCGGAGACGTCCAACATTTTTGGAACAAAACGTAACAAAATAGTAGCTTTGATACTGTGATGTGTATTTGCAAAAAGCAATATTATTTCCTTCATTAAAGAATAATATTCATCCTGCTCTAACCGAGAAATAATCAACTTTGTTTTGAACCCATGAAACACATAAAAAAACTAGAGGGCACTCAGAGACTGCATACCTCCGCCCGTTACTCGGAAGTGAAACGCAACCTTGGAATTTCCTAAGAAATCCACTTTATAATTCTTAAGCATAAAAGATTTCAGGCCCCCGCGAATTGAAATCGAATTGCTAATAGAACATATTACTGTTGTTGTACTGTACAGTACTTGTAAAATAAAAACTTTTTAAGTGTCATTAAATAAATGCACAAATTTTGCTTTATGCACTCGCGCGTACAGTAATTTTCACAGTTGTGCTATTTTAAATTCCCAGGCAGCTAAAATCTTTTGTCTTTAAAACAATGTCGATTTCTTGGGAAATTCCGAGGTTGCCTTCTTTTTATACACCCTGTATTGAAGTAATCTAATGTTGTTAGAATTTGAATGGACTGGCACTTTGCTGAACGTAATAATGCGTAACTCTGTAAGCCTTGTTTTAGACATTGAATTTCGGTCGCGTGAAATGCAACTAAGACAATAGATAATGAAGGCCGAAGCTTAATGAGGTTTATCATCTCATTGTCTTAGTACTGCGTGCATAAATTATACACGTCCTAATTACGCATTCAGTAATATTTTTTAATTGACCGGGAAAAGCAAGACAAAATTTTGTTCATTTCTCGTTCAATTTTTAACCAAATTCAACCAAATTTTAATCAGTTCTTCCTTAGCCGATGGGAAATGCACTCAAAAAATTTCGTATGAATATGTTTGGTATTTCCTGAGTTATTGTGCTCACAGACAAACACACACACACACACACACACACACACACACACACACACACACACACACACACACACACACACACACACATACAAACCCAGATGATTACATAACCTCCTGGCGGAGGTAACCAGCTGATTCCACTACATAATATAACCTAGCTAGCCACCAACAAGGGCAGGGCAAAAATATGACATCATAATTGTAAAACAGGAGAATAGGTGTTTTACACTATATTACACTTCATTATTACATATTATACTGCACTAACACAGCTAAGATTCATTTTTAGCAATAAAAAATTTTAAGTTTTTAATTGTATCAACAAAGGGCCATCACTGCTTTTGAGCTGGGGGCCAGTAGCAGTGCCCCCTTGCCCCACCCCCTCACAGCAGCTCTGGCCACCAATATCAATGATGGCTTACCTGTTCAAATGCTTCTTTGAGGTCATCACCCCCTTATGTAATATTAAGGAAACATTTTCTCCAGAGATTCTAAACAATCTAACTTAGAACAAACAAAACAAAACTTATTTCTGAATCAAGTCTTGAATCTGATTCTATAAGCCCGAGAACCTAGGCCCTATTCTGACCTTACTCATCCTGAAACTGATTATAACTGTGACAGCTTCTGAATACTTGTAAGTACCAATAATGCAATAATCAGCTAAATTCCCATTGACAGTCAATGCAATGACATAATTTTGGGATTTCAGTTGACAGGCAGGTATAACAAAAATGGCTATTTTAATGTATTGATCAAGTTTAGAGACAGTTTGTTTAAGACTCGAAAGATGAATTACCGTTCAGTTTTTCTTGCTACAATCATTCTGATAGGAAAAAAATCGTTCACAAGTTGTTTGATTGCCTGTCATTTGGATGGACATTTATTTTATTTATTAGCTTTGCCAACACTTACATTAGAACATAAAATTCATTTATCTGGCAGGGTGTCGGCAACAGCGGTAAGCCAATTACTGCGGTTCCAAATCATGACCTAATTCTGAAGTTCTGCTTGTATTTTTCATTGCAATTGTATCCCTATCAATCTACATTTTTCCAAATTATTCTAAACCTAACCCTGTTCAACCTTTTTAAACCCTAAGCCCCACAAACAAAGAACTAATTTCCAGTCTTCAATTGCAAAAAGATACAAGCATGTAATCTAAAAGGTAGGTTTAATTATATCAGTATTAACAGTGGTATTTACACAATATTTAAGTCATATAGGCGGGAAAAAAATTTAAAAAGTTTTAAAAAAAGCTAAGTCAGACAAAACACAACCCAACCGGACTGTGTTTCACTTTCCGCATGCAGCACCATATATGCTAACGCCAAGCTCACCAACAACTACCGCAAACAAAAGTTTTCATATTTAACTATATAGTCACTATATAGCCGCTGGCACTCAATGGTGCTGGCACTCAATGGGTCACACGTAGGATAAAACGAAGGCAGACACAAATAGTATATTATTAAAGACAAAAGATTAGCATTTTGAAACTCAACTCAAGACTCAGAGACTCCAAAGATTAGCATTTTGAAACTCAAAACACAAATCATGGCAGATTTTGCATAATACTACCTACACTGGACTACACTGGACTACACGTTAATATCTAACCTGTCAACTATCAACAATACATGTAAACGTATAATACAAAACAAGATGTTAATTACACTAATTTTATAAACAAAAAAAACCTGAAAAATAATCAATTCAATAACTCTTACTGCACATCAGCCGTGTGGTCTAGATCTATAAGAAATAATTCCTTTTTAATAATCTACATTTATTTAAAAAAACAACAAAAAATAGACACAAACTTACATTCATATTTTATCACTCTTCCCTCGGCGGCCATATTGAAAATATTTCTTAGTCTTTCTCCCCCCTGCATAATAGTACCCAAAAACTAATAAAACCGGGGGAGTTATGTGAAAAGTGTATTTCGCATTTTGATTCAGCAAAACAATTCCTACCACCCCCGGTAGTAGTTGTTTCAATTGTGAAAATCATCAACTGAGATATATAGAGCCGGGGGGTGGAATATGATTCTGACAGTAATTGTTTAAAATTTGGGAAGACAATATGGCGCATTATACAAACAGCTCAAAATCTATTATAAAGTTACAGGTATAGAATTTAAAATTTCCATCAATATTTTTCACGTTAGTTCGGCATTTTGACGCAATTTCTTTGATTTTAGGCACTGATTCGTGGCTATTTAGTGAGAAAGAAATTTTCGCAGTTGAAATGGGACTACAACGAAATTGTCAAATGTTTTGAAGGGAATTGTGTAAAAGTCAGATGGAAAAATGACTCGAAACTTTGCTCGCCGATTGTGGATCGTGAATGTTCTGTTACTAGGCAAGGAGTTAATGTATTAACTGATGATGTACGGCAGAAAAGCAGCTGTGAAAAAATTGATTTAAGCTTAGGGAATGAACTAAAAGATACAACTTGTGCAAATGATATTGTGAGCTCTGTAAATTGCAGCAGTAAAACTATGCCTAATGTCGAAAGCACAAATAAACTAAGTACTTCTACTCCCACTGAAAGTCCTATTAACAATTGGCCATCCAAAGATTATCTTACTAGTAATTTAGACCAAGGTTTAAATGAGGGTTTGCAGTCAACATGCAACTCCACAGGCAAAACTACCAATACAGTACCTCTAGAAAGCAGTAGCACCAAGACTATAAATCATCAAACGACAGCACAGGAAAATGCTGATCAAGTTAAGACAGACGAGAAGAGACGGACAGATATTGTCAACATAGAAAACTGCAATGGCCCCAATAAAGGTAGCGAGACATTATGTGGTGTTATACCCACCCAGCCATTGGATAACTTTTGGATACCACACCCCCTCCCAAGAGGTTTTTTCAATACACCCCCCCCCAAAAAAAAAAAATAACAATCTGAGCAAAACCTTTGAGGTCTTGAAAAATTTTGGACAATTTCACAAACGTCCAGAAACAGAACGGTGTTCAGGTCTTGTGGTATGACGTATGATTGACAACAATCCTCTATTTTGGGTGGCAAAAATATTTTATTCAAACAGCTACAAAGCCGTGGAGTATTACAACTCTTCAAAATGCTCAAAAGCAACAGTCAGTACCACAATCAGTGCCACGATCATTCTTTGACGCCATGTTTGCCTTAATCAACTATTTTTAATTTGCCACCCAAAATGGAGGACATCAGCAAATACGTGTCGTGACCCGCAAGAGTCCACATGGCTTGAAATAACAGCCGATCATAGATCGGCAAGAAATTGCATATGATCGGCAGAAAAGTAGGGTTTCCAACCTGAAAAGGCAGGGAAAGTCACGACTGCCAATCATAACTTTGGGAATGTTGTTTCAAGCCTTGGTCCATTAGGATTTTCAATATGTCTCTTCCATGTTTAATGAGATAGCAGCTGCAAGGGAGACTGTTGGTAAACCTTGTTTTTCTACACTTCAGATCAAATATTGTACCCCAGTGACAAGATGTCCCTGGTCAAACTTCGTGAAGATTTGACAATGGAACTACTCTGGATAGAGCAAGCAATTGAAAGTAGAATAAATGTAAGTATGCCTTACTGAATGTTATTTGAATCCATCATAGCCTACCAAAGTACAGACTATGCAACATCTAGTCACACTGACGTCTTTTCATTTGCAAATACTGTTTTCTATTCCATTGCACAGTTTGAGGGGAGGGTGTCATGTTTCAGGAATGGCCTAGGTGCTGAAGGCTGAAAACCAAAAGTTGATGTTAGCCATTTTTTTGTTTTAGTATTTGGCTATGAAAGAGAATATGGACAAACAATTGAACAACTAACTTATACAGTCATAAACATGAAGGCCACACAACTGTTACTGTACAGTTATTAATTTATGAAGCATTAGTGTTTTATTAAATTATCCATTTTACCATGGAAATAACCATTTATTGAACTTTGCCAATAAACATTAAAACACAGAAAAAACATATATGGACAATGGCAGGGAACACGCTACAGCTTATAACTAATAAATATAATAACTATAAACTAATAACAACACGATACTTCCTGTGAAGTATTACGGGACTTGTTACAGGACAAACATATTGATTTCCATGTTCTTGGATCATCCACGTCGTAGACCGTTTGTAATGCTACTTTATAGTACATAAAAAGTCCATTTTTTAACTGACTAAGGCTGGTGTTATTGCCTGTCAAGTTCTTTGGCAGTACATTCCACATTCTGGTACATCTATTTATATTAACATATTAACCCATTATTGAGCACTTGCATTCTCCCCTTGTTCAGTGAAATTGTCTGGCATTAGAGACGTAAAGTAGGCCGCGTTGGAACAAAAATTACACAATGCAACTAAATGGGTGGGTCAAATAGCCATTCATCTCTGTGTCGAGTACCCTTTTAACGCAATGTTTTGAAAGAAACTTCGAGTTGTACAGTCATGATTCTTTTATACATATGTACACTACATGCATACGTCACGTCATTGACTTTGGCTCATTCTAAGCCCCAACTTTCCATGGGGGTCGTGAGGTAGACCTCTGCACTTCCCCCAATTTTTCCCACCAAAATAAATCCAGCCTTGGTTAAAAATCACTTTCACAATTTATAGGGAAAGCAGACAGGAATACTTTGCGGCTGCCTCGTCCCCAGGCGCTAATAAATAAATTTCATGCGAGTCACTATATTAAAGGTTTACACCAAGTAGTGCATTGCGACGAACAAGCGCAGGGGTTTATGGGCCGAGGCAATGATCCCATTCCCCTTTGCACGCCTATGTGACACACTACATCATGTAAACTTTTATATAGAGACTCGTACCAGTAGGTGAAATCATTTTATAGCGCCTGGGGGACTAGGCAGACTTTGTAAAAACCCAGCACAAGCAAAGTGCAAAAAATCCCCCCCCCCACTTACAAAACAACTTTTTACCAAAAGATGGATGACACTTAAAAAAAAACACCTGTGGTTCCGGTTTCATAACGTGAAAAAATTAGGGTTGGTAGGTTGGAAATAAATTTTTTTTTTGCTAGGCGATTTGCACTAGAGTCCCGACATGAAATATTAACTAGAGACGCCATTTTGGCACGCTGTAAGAGCAGCCCCCTGCAACCACCTGGAGAAAATAGGGTCGCACAGTCAAACGTGTTGAAAAAATAATAGGGTCGGCTGAAAAAAATAGGGTCGGTCAGGAACCGGAACCACAGGTATTTTTTTACGCCTTATGCAGATGCAAAAACACACAAAACAAACATTTTTTACCAAACATTATTTAACTTGTAATTTCTCTAACTGAAACATCATTACACATGCAGAATTCTATAACGTCACAAATAATTGGAATACATGTATTTATATCATCCGGTAATAAAAACTAGTGTTTTTTATCATACAAGTAAACGTTTTTACTGCATCGGGGTAATTACAAGTTTTTGACGAGGCTGAAAAAGAAACAACAAACATACATTTAGTTACTTACAGTTCATTACTCCAGACATAATTTTACATGCACATTATGATTTTATCAACAATTCATGAAAAACAGTGATGGTTGAAATCTTACTAGGGGGTTACAATATGCCAAATATTTCAACTTAGTCTTGCTAGATTCACTTGTTTCAGAATAGCAGAGCTCTCTCAAAATTTAGAATTTCAAATTAGCCTTTCTCACACCGCCATTTCTGGAGTACTTTTTTGCCAATTCTGTGAGCATAACACCAACATTGTATAATTTTGTGGGTGTATGATGGTAAATTTACTCTGTGAATAGTTAGTTTGTTCTGAAATATTGCTTTTCACATTGCTAAAATCGTTTACGAAAAATTACAGTACCCCAAAAATGGCGGTGCGAGAAAGGCTAATGATTACTAGCACTCACTAAGGCCTGTTTTTTACGTCGAATTCCTGTCGCGTCGAATGCAATTCAAACAATAGATAATGAAGCTTGATGAGGTTTATCATCTCATTATCTATTGTCTTAATTGCATTCAACGCGACCAAAAGGCCGATACCGATACCTATTTTGATACCAAAATGAACACAGAATTTCAATTTTCGATACCGGAAGTGAGTACTTAAATTGCTAGTATCGGCTACTTTCGATACCTGCCGGTCAGCGGAAAAACATTTTACATTACTGTATGTAATCTAAACAAAGCTATATGTAAAAAAAAACCTGAAACATAATAAATATTTTCTATACATGACTTGGCGCACCACATTTGGAATATTAAGACTTATTTTAGTTGGTTAAGTCTTATTCAACCAAGAAGTGAAATTAAACAAGTCGTTTAAAACAGGGTGCAAGTATCGAACAATACCACGTCAGTAATCGATACCGCTGTTTGTGGTATCGCTGGTATCGAATACCGAGTACTCGGTATCGCCCATCACTAGTCCCCCCTCCCCATACTTTATGACCAGTACCTAAGGGCAGTGCTCTTTACAGTCTATTTCACACAACTTTTCCCTAAATGTTGTGAACTTCAAATTGAAATTCACAAGTTGAATTGTAAACAAAGCCACTGATTGGCCTCTGAACTATAAGAAGCCAATCAAATGCATTGTTTACAAATGGTTTGTGAATATGATTGAACTTTGCAACCAACTTTAGAACTAAGTTTGCAACATTTAGGGAAAAGTTGTGTGCAATCAACTGTAATAATTATTTTTTTATTTGCATTCACAAGCAATCTTAAAATAAACTAACCATTTACAAAGCAAATTTACCATTATTTGTCAAAAAATTATAAAAAGTTGCTACATACCATGAAAATGCGAAAGCGAGAACAAGACCAAAGATAGCGCTTGAACTTTCTACACCACTTGTAGGTTTTGATGTTGCTGGCTTGGTGGGAGTGCTGCTACCATTGTTGGCTAAAATTATTCAAGAAAAATACATGTAGTAATTGCAGCCATGGTGCTGTTGAAAACCATCCAGACACTTTTGAATAAACATTGATGCAAGGTTGAAATAAGGTTTTCATGAAACTGTAACTTAGCATTCTTAAGACATATAGCATGAGTATACAATATTTCCAAGACCAAGTGCTGGCAAGTGGAATCTGTTGAATTATGCACTGCTTTTAATAGTGCATGTATAAATACAAACGACAAAGCATAATAATAATTAAGGCGTACAGGTAAATTATATGACAAAAGTTTTTCCTGTCAGATTTCATATTAAGTCTAATACTGGTAGGTGCATTTACCACATATAGACAGTATTAAACTAAGAAACCAAAACTAATCTACTAGTCTGTAGTGTAGTGAGTCAAAGGACCCAATCAAGTGGATGTGTACTACGCACAATAACCGAGCAGAACCACAATGCAACACGCTAGGAAAATTTACTGAACAGACTCCTATCTGCACATATTAGACAGCTGCTTTGCTCGCCTGCTTCAAGCTTGCTTTCTCTGCAGCAATTATTGGGTAGGGGTCTGAGCATACAGATCACACACTTTGCAAAATAGGTGCAGATATATATGCCTAAGACATATTACATTATTATTGTGCAGACTTACAAAAAAACTTTCAACTTATATTGCAATATATAGAGTAAAATAATCTGGTACTTAAGACAGAACAAAATAAAAATACAGTCACATTTTGTTTTAAAAAGATGATTTGTTTGAATTTAATTGTACTACTTTACTGCTTATGTAAGATGACATAAATTTTACCAAGAAAATTTTTTTTGCACTTTGATCGAAAAGCAAATCTTGGCCAGAGTCTTTGGAATTATGCTACCAAGGCAAAAATATTTAATTTAACAAGACTGAGTGTTTCTGTCCATAACTTACTTGACGCTGGTGATCCACTCGATGGCGGTGATGTTTGTGCACCGCTGGGGCTTTTTGTGGTCAATCCAGCTGGACCTAATCATTGCAAAGAGTTTATATATGGTACACAGATAAAAATCTCACAACTTCTCAACAAGATGTGTTTGCAACAGGCTTGTAGCAAGCTTGTAACAATGCTGTTATTTTATTAAGTTGCTACAAAGTTTTCACTCACAACTTTGTTAACAAGTCTGTTGAGCTCAACAACCTTCTAGCCTTGCTTGTAGCAAGCTGTCAACAAGCCCCATTCGAGATGTAAACATTACAATGTTGAACTTAATTAAAACATGGATCACATATGTTAGCCTGCTGATTTATGGTTTAGATGCATGTTAAACCAAAAAAAGGTCAGTAGTATGATTTGTGGGCTCGTTATCTTTGATCCTTTTTGTATTGGTCAGTGGGGAAGTGCATCTTAATGGTTAAGCATCATACACTCAAGCCAAAAATCAGCTTACTAAAATTGTATTGTGTGTGCCTGTCTTTAGTAAATCAGTTGCTGGTTGCATCAAAAGCTAACTTCACCACAGGCATTTTGAGCAATGCAGAAAAACCACACACAACCCCCTCCCCCCCCCCCCCAAATCCTTGCGCCTGCACAAATTAGTTAATAACAAAACGCCTGTGGGGGAGGTACCATCAGTGGCATAGCTAGCCCGACGATTTGGTCCCGCTATGCAAATTTCAACTCATCATTATTCATTTCTTTAGAAATTGATTATGTTGATAGTTTATAAACCTGGCAATACTTGCATAGCGGGATTGAATCGTCAGGCTGGCTACGGCACTGGGTACCATCAAGATATAAAATCAAATTAAGTAAACTAAAATACTTTTAGTAGTAGGTTTTACTACTCCTGTTGTTGTTGGTGATTGTGCATGTGTATATGCTACCACACAGACCACAAAACCTATAAACGGAAAAGATATTGTTGTTTTAGGGCAAGGCAGTTCTTGTAAGAAACTGAAAACAAGGAGTTTCTGTTTTTTAAGAACATTCAAAACTATACTTGAAAACTTGGCCCAGAAAAGCTCATATTAACCTATCAAGTGGCAGTATTCTCCCCCTGACAAGTAAAATCGTCTGGCGTTCGACAGAGTAAAATTGTCTGGCGTTAGACAGAGTAAAATAATGGAGCAGGGAACATATAAATTGACTGTAATTTTTAACAATGCTGAAAATAGGCACAAAACGTTCCATGACACTTACACAAAATAACGATTGAATTCCTCATCTGCAAAAATAAAACAATATAAAACATATTAACAGTCAAACTCGTATTGAAAATATCATTTTAAATCAGCTTTTGCCAAAACATAGGCAACACCTGCCTTGCCTACCCATTTATATTATTGATGCATTGTGAAAATTAGCTGATGCGGCTCTGTATTAAAACATGGATAGTTCAAAGACGCCCCAAGGGAATCATTTGCGAGCCAAAGCAGAAGCGAAACTCACTTTTTTCCGCTTTTGAAACTCGACACCTCGTCTGAAATGAGAGTTCGTTTTGAAATCGAATTCCTGTGACAGGTGTGGGTCTCCTCGAAAGCAAGTTCAAAAGTCAAAATCATTACGCAGAAACATTCGCAAAATGTCGTTTTAAAACGACTTTTCCAGTAGGATTTTTTTTATGAATGTAGAACAATCATTCTTCGAAGCAACCACGGCGGCTGCTAAATAAATACAACTAATGCACGGCTTGTGGCCAAGGAAACGCCTTAATATCGCGGTTTTAATCCTTGAATCCCAAACAAAAAGAAAGTTTCTCTTTTAGGCTGCTTGTGCGAAGGCCGGATAGCCCAAACACGAAGTGTATAGACTAGAAATACTTATATATATATATATCACAAAAAAGCGACGACCAGTTTAAAACTCTATTACAATTAAAAACGCGAAAGGTAATTATTCAAAAGCAGTCAGTATGGATCATCTATTTGCTTTTAGTAAACGACGGCGAGTCAAATAAAGGCTTCGCCGCTATGGAAATGAAAAAACAACACAGACAAGGAGTTGTCGCAATCTTCGAAAAGTCAAACATTTAGAACGCATAGAAGAAATTAGAACTCGTTCTTGCAACATAAAAACACGATAATTGTGTTCTATTTCATCAACATAAACCTTATTTCCATATTTTGTTATAAATCATTAAGCAAAAACGTTTCTACATTGTTGAGCATTATTATAAAGGCCCACTGTGGTTCGCAATAAAACAGACTCAATCAAGCCGAACGAGGAATGCGTTTCTGAATTCGCCAAAACCATGTGCTTTGTTTGATTTTTTATTCTTATCTTTATGTTTATATCAAAAGGCCGATATTTTGGCCAATATTACGGCAACATTACTCAAACTACACTTATTCTTATCAACCCTAAGCTAGATGAGCTTTTTCTCAAGCAAATGCGTGTCACATCTAAACGACACAAGGAAATCGAATCAGAGACAACACCCTTTTGAAATCAAATTCAATTTTGCGCGTAATTTTTCTTTCCTCGCCGAGTACGAACGCCTTGCAGTGAATGGCGAGGCGATATTTTGTTATTCCCGAACGCTACCTGTAATAATGGAAGGAATATCGAGTAAAATTTCAAATAATCTGTTAATGGAAGTAGCTTCGTATTCAAACGGTCAAGTTTCAATCTGCCCTTCAGAATGGGTAATAAACTCGTGTATTTTTATAACTTGTGATGCTTTATACGCAACTACAAGTTACACGACACATTCATAATGAAATAGACAATATTCTTACCTTTATTTGTTGCTTAGAAAATGAATCGAGGCTTGAATACAAACCAAAAAGTCTGCTCAAGGGTAAATGGAAGGTAAAATGAACGTTGATCGACGCGCGTTCAATTCCACATTTACTCTCCGCCCTGTCACATGATCTACACACCTTCTGATTGGCTGAGAGAGAGCGTTCATTTGACAATCACGTGCGCGCAACTGCCCCCTGGGGGTTATGCGCAAATTACATTCATATGATCACGAAATACGATCCTTCCCAATTATACAAAGTAAACTATATAAATTTTACATGATATCATTGTAAAACATTGAAAAGCATTGTTAGATATTGTTATTACACAGACATGTTACTACAGCAAGCTTCAAAAATTGAAGACAACAGCGAATCCAGCTTCTGAAAATGCGCTATTTCACTTGGAGATTCTTTTTAGAATTCCGTGCGTTTGACGACATAGGAGCGGGCAAAGTCCGGCGTGGTTGTTTGTTGATCTTACAGCGTTGCATGAGGCGAAAAATTAAACGAAATCAATAATTGATTTCATTAACTTCGTGGTCCAGTCGCGCTTTGTGACAAGATTATTTCAATACGGTTATTACCTGCCTGTGAATTGGAAGATGGTTTTACGATTAATTCGTGGTTTCCCAAGTGCTTCTGCGAGTTGACTATTGGGTTTATGAATATATATATAATTATACTTATTTGAATTGACAAGCGCAAGTTTCTACAGGCTTCTGAGGCCACTTTTACACATGTTCCTGATAGCTTTTCGCAACGACGTGAAAAAAACCAGGACCTTTTTAATATAGGAACGCTATTTTCACAAACGCTATTAAATTATTGCAACGGAGTGATGTTTCATTCTGTATCAGATAGGTGCTTTTTCCCGCCGCTACGAAAAGCTATCCAGTAGTGTAAACACGGCCTGAACTTTTACATATGTCATTGAAAGATAAAACGCGCGAGAAACACTGAACACAGGAAGTCTGAAGGCCAACGATTTGTCGGGAAAGCTTTATTAATATTTACCCAAAAGATAAAAGCAGGATTTAAAAAAGTTCTCTCGAAAGTTCCTGTTAAACTTCTGTCAGAATTGTTTAGTTTTTGTATAACACACAACTTTTATTATGTCAGTATGAATAATTATGATGATGATGATGAATGCGCGCAATTTTGATCTCTTCTTTTTGGCGTCATATAAACCC